AATTAAATTCCAGCTTTGGAAGGAACAGCATTTTCTATAATTGATCATGATGAAAATAAATTAAATGCAAGATGTGATGCAGTCAATAAAATTCTTTAAATAATAGAACAAAGAAGTAAACAAATCCTAGAAATAATTATGTTGATACCAGAAGGTAAAATCAATAAATAACCTAGGGACTGTCTCATATGTAATTGGAACTTAGGGAAAATAAATAGAAAACATTAAATTAGAGACTAAAGCTCATTTAGTAATTAATTAACCAATCTATGAATTTTAATTAAGAACGGTGACAATAATTGGTAAATATTAGTTCAATATTAATAATAGGTGATTCTTCTCGTATTTTTAATGCTATTAAATTAATCATAAAATAATTGCAGGAAAGAGGAATTTCAAATGAAGATTATGCTAAAAAAGCTGAACCTTTAGATCCAAGAAGAGTCATGACAAAAGTATTTTTAATTAATATTAGAGGCCAAATTTGCTTTTTTAACTATGATAATAGAATATATATTAAAAAATAGAGAATTAGAGAAAAAATATTCTGTCAGATTAAAGGGAAAAGCTATTAATGATATAAAAATAAAAGTATAAAAATCAAAAGTTATTTAGAAAAATAAATTAAAAAAAGATGAAGGAATATTATAAATTGATGGGACATTATTTAATGTTTAAGAAGCAATTTAAAATATAATAAAGAAAGTGACTTAGTAATTTAAGAAGAATGAATTTGATATAAGAATAGTTATGCCTTCCAATTTTGCATCTAAATTAATTGGAGCAAGTAAATAATCAATTTATAATATAAAATAGAAGGATGTTAGATTAAAGAATTAGCCAATAAAGCTAGAGGGGCTTAAATAAAGGTGCTTTCAGATAGAGATGATACAGATGTTGGTTAAGGTTAGAATTCTAAGGAATTTTAGATTGTTTAGTATAAGTGACAGGATCAATGGAAAATAAATAGGAAGCAACAATTTTGATATTGGAATAGATTGAATGTTTTAAAAATGGAGGACCTGTATATAAATAATTAATAAGATCCTTGAAAGTGGAAAGTACATAAATGAAAACTTTGCATAATAATACAAAAACTCAGTGCAGGTCTAAGACATGAAGCAAAAGAGGTTTGTGTGGAATAATTAAATAGGTAGAAAATAGTCATCTTCCTCGCGTTCAGATAGAAGACAGAGATCAAGATCATCAAATAAAAGATAAAAATATATTAGAAGATCTAGATCATCTAGGTACTTATAAATAATAACTAAGTTCCCATAAACGCAAGACAAAATAATAATTACTAAAGACAAAAATAGTTGTCAAGTAATCTCTAATTGAAATGATGCACAAATAATTAATTCGATTTTGCTCGGATTTTAATGTGAATATTCAGACTTTCCCTTCTGTATATATTAAAATTAAATTAAATAGGATGAAGGAAATGAAACTATTGTTAAGATAAATGGAGATATTAAAGGGAGTATAGCAGTGATATAATATATATTAAGTGAGTAATGTAAATTGTCCAAGAGATGAAAATTAAAATAAAAAATACAATATTCTCATCATATAATTTATCTTATCATCTGATTTTCTATAATTCTCTGTTCATTTATTGATGGATGCAAATTTTAGTATTAATTTCATGTAATACTATATTATTCAAGTATACAATATTAAAGTGATTATATTGCAAAATTATAATCATTTATTCATATAAAATTATTCCCATTATTTAATTGAGATATTGCTATTCAAATACAATTCTTAATATTCAAACTTATTTTAGAATTCAGAATTATAATTATTAATATAAATTTTATATTAATTATTTAATTTAATAATACGTAATTATTCTTATTATGATAATGTAATAATCTATTGATTTTGTCATATATTTATTTATAGAAATTAGTAATATGATTTATAAGATTAATTAATAGTGACGTATGAAATGCTGCTATTACTTAAATTGATTGTCGAATTAATACTTTAAAAAATTAAATGTCTGATTTTATTTAATGGACATATGAAAATAGACTACAAATCTCTATTGACTTAGCAGCTGGTTCAGTTAGTGGAATGTATTTGATAATTAATTACTCTAAATAGAGCAAATTGTATATCAAGTCATCCATTAGACACTGTTAAAGTTAGGATGCAAATGTCTAATGACGGAGTACTTTCAACTTTAAATAAAATTTTTAAAAATGAAGGAACAAAGGGTTTTTATAAAGGAATGTCATTTCCTATACTTTCAATACCTATTACAAATGCAATTGTTTTTTCTGTCTATGAATTTTGGAGATCATTTTTTATAGGAAATTCGAATAAATAACTAACATATTTTTAAACGTAACTTTTTTTGAGATAATTAATAGTGCCTTTTGTGGAAGTATTGCAGGTAGTTCAGCAGCTTTTTTTTCATGTCCAATAGAATTAACAAAATGCAAATTGTAGATGTAATCGACTGAAAAAATATATAAAAATCCTATAGACTGCATACAATAAGTAAGTTATTTTATGACTTATATTATAGATATATAAAAAGGAGGGTTTTAAATCTTTGTTTCGTGGAATGTGTGCTACTCAATAAAGAGAAATACTTGGTTATTCGGCTTAATTTGCTGTGTATGAATTGATAAAAGATTTCTTTTGTGGTTTTTCATAAAAAGCAGAACCATCTACAGCAAATCTTTTAATTTCAGGAGGCTTAGCTGGAGTCTCATGTTGGACAATAGGATATCCTTAAGATGTATTTATATCTATTAATAATTTTAGACTATTAAAACAATTTTATAATGTTAAAAACCAACAGATTAAGGAATTTATAAAGTTAGATTTTATGATGGGGGTTTTTTAGATTGTTTAAGAAAAAAAATAATCTCAGAAGGAATAGGATCAATTTGGAAAGGATATTCTGTATGTATTTTCAGATCATTCTATGCTAATGCAATAGGATTCTATGCATACGAATTAGCAAAAGAAAATATTACTTCGTACTATTAATAATATTGATATCTGTGAATAAATTCATTGTTTATATTATACTCAATTCAAAAGAAAGATATGAATTCAGTTAACAAAAACCTTGTCCTAGTCTATATCATCAAGTTTCTCTTTGGATTTATTCAATCTCCTTTGCATTATTGGATTTTTAGATATTTAATAAGAAACCTTTCCTTTTCTAATTTCGTTAAATTCTACTAATGAGCCTACACTCTTTAAGTATTGTTCAAAATTGTCATTAGTTGTTTTAGTACTATTTATTGAGGTAGATTAGGATAATTTTTTCTTATTTATCGAACATCCCATTATATTAATATTAAGTTTGTATTTTAATTTCAAACATTCTTTGATTAATAATATAAAAACATTTATTTCGTTTCAATTATAATTAATTAAATCATTAATTTTTATTATCAGCTCTTAAGTCATTTAATATTGAAATATAAAAAAAGTGTACAAATAAAATAATGTATATATATTATTTTAATTATAATTATATTAACTTAAATAGTATTATGTTTAAAATAATGGAAAAGGTAAGGAAATTGTAAAATAAAGCCAAAATTGATTTTATTCATATTATTCATTCAATGGTAGGATCATAAAACAGAACTGTAGGCAATTTAGGTGCTTAAGAACAGTTCTGATAATATTTGATTTATAATAAGAATTCAGTAAATGGATTTATTAGATCTTTATATAATCTATAACTAATATGGTCCATATCATCAGCTAAATGCATAATACATTAACTTGACTAACAATTTTCTAATTTAATATATTAAAAATACTGTATAACTCTTGTGCTTAAGTATATGGAATAATGTTGTCTGCTTTACCATGTAAAATAAATGTAGGTATCTTAACTTTTTTAATTTAATCTAAATTATCAAATCGCTATCTGATAAGATATTAAGCCCATGAGCCAACATAATCTCTGACAGCAGCTTTTAATGAAGTAAATGGTGACATCAAAGCTAGACAGGCTGGTCTGTATTTACTAGCAAGATAGGTTGAAGGTCCACTACCTATACTCCTACCAAAAATAATGATACGATTTTCATTATAACCTAATCTTTTGGTAAGATAATTGTAAACATATTCAGCATCTTACAAAATGAATTCAGCATTAGGCTATTCATTTTTGTATTTACCATAGCCAGGATATTCCATAGCTATGACAGATACCTAAAATTAAATATAATTAAGTACTTGTAAATTGTCTCTGAGATGAATAAGAAACTTATATGATTATGTTATATCTTCACAATTGGCATGGAAATACATTAAAATATTGGGAGAATGATTTTTTGAATCTACATACATACATGGAATGTGTCCAAAAATATGATGTGATTCTCTAGAATTAGATCTTTAAAGGATGGGTTCTTCTTCTATAAATTTTTCTTTCTTTTTATCCATTAATTCTTTAGGTAATTTTATAAGAGGTTGACTAAAACAGATACTTTTTTCAATTTTAGTTTTTTTGATTGGATAAAAATTAGAAGACATTCTACATAATTAAGGCTTTTTAGTAGTAATTTAAATGGATTGCATATTTAATTTTTACAATTTAGATGAAACATCAGGACTTCCCTCATTAGAATCAAATGAAGGTGAATTAATTTCACTAGTTTATCTTTTTCTCTACCTTTAAGTGAGAGGTTTGCAAGGAAAATTAGGAATAGGTTATAATTGAGATTCACTATAAGATGTAAATAAATAAGGATTACGTAGGTTCTTCATTAAAGAAATGCTCATCTTCAAATTCTAATTCATTTTACTTAAAGTACATTCCTCTTTTTTTTGTTGTTCTAGGTACGTAATTTTAAAAGGTTGGATAAAGTTTTTTGTATTTAGGAATCCATAATATTTATCCTTGTTCATGATCATTAGATATTTGTTTTGGAGCAGGGAAAAATATGAAGTCTAGGTCCATAAATTATTATTATTGTAATTAATGAATAAAGAGAGTGAGAAATTATTAAATGAAAAAGGAGCAAATAAATAATTACAAAAGATTATTGGAGTAATAGCATAATTCATTGTTATAAGTCTAGGGCTATGCCAAATTATATAATGTTTGATGGTGAAGGCAATTATGGAAGAAAATAACTGTAAGGTAATTTCCAAAAACGAAGTCATAGATCACAAAAATTTGAAAGTTTAAATAAATTTATAATGGAAAGAAGAGGACAATATTGAAGAATAGAATAAGAATTATGAAACTGAAAATAAGCAAATCTTACCTAAAATTTTGAATTTAAAAGTTATTTTTATGTGTTATATTATAAGAAATCCTAGGATGTTGAACCAATGAAGGTAGCAATTAGTTTAGGTAGTATTATATTTTTAGAATTTAAGAACATCATAAGAGATTTGGTAAATATAGTATTAGATATTTACAAAAAACTAATCCTTTTGGAAGTAAGGATGCTATGGAAGGTGATAAATTTGAAGTAAGTTCAGCGAGATATGGCAAATTCTATACAAATGAGAGCGACCATAAAAATTTATTACGAGAATTTGATAATAAATACTGCGTCATCCCAGTCTAATAACCTATATTAAAGTATCATAGTTTGAAATCATCATTATTCAATAATAAAAATTAATGAGAGGATTTATAATACGCTTTGCATTTGCTGAATAAGTCTCCATCCAATCTCAGACTTATTTAAAAAGATCATACAAGGAAGCTACTGTAGAAATGGCCACAAATCCAATCAATCCATATCACCAATGGTTTATCAAAGTAATCTTAAATTTTATATTTTTAGCTTGATGGAAAAAGTATAAAGACTCATCAACGTAACATATTGGCAGTTCCTTCTCCATAATTAGCTGCCTGCATTGCTTCAGAATTCAATCGTCAAAAAGAATACTTAAGTTTCAAACAAATGCCACTTTTAATGCTTGCCAGAAATGCTATTGATTTAGATTACGATGCAACCAATAGAGAATACATTGAAAAAACTATAATAGGTCATTTAGAAAAAGATGTTGTTTTACATCGTAAAAACCAAAAATCATAACTTCTATAAATTCAGTAACAATTATTGGATCCTCAATTAAAATTCTTCAATTCTAAATTTGGAATGGATATCTAATCTAATAATGGTGTACAAATTGGATCACTAAGCTAATAAAATATAGTGAAAATTGAATCCTTAATCAGAGGATTAAATAATTGGTAATTAGTCAGTCTCAGTTCTTAAGCAGGTATAAAATTAATATAATTTTATTAGATAATCTAAAATCTTGTATATTGGCAATTCAACTAACCTATGGTTAAGTTGACTTGGATAAAGCATTGTCTCTTTGTGATATTGAAAATTAATTTAATAAGAAAATCATTGAAAATGAAAATCCATAAGAATCAGATAGTGAAGATAACTTAATTTCCATAAATGTTAAAGCTGCACAACTATTCTCATCGCTAATTTATTCCTAAAGTATCCTCTATTGATATTTTGTTTATTGTATTTTATTGTATATAGAATGAATTAATTACATTAAAATTTATAAATACACAAATAAATGTCAACTTATATTAATCATGACTTAAAGGCTTTCGGCTAAAATGTTGATATAGATTGTGAAACTCTTGTCAATATTTCTGTATGTGTCTTACGATCTGCTCTTGCTATTGGAGATGGACCAGGAACTTATTTTAGAGGAAGACTTTTCCTTAAATCTACTTTAGGTTAAGGTTTATATTAAGGATCCCTCTAAATATCAAAAGGTGTAAGTTCTGGTCCTAAATTGCTTGTTATACATCCATGTAACATTCTAAACTCATGATATTTAATTACATTTCATAATCAAGTAATTAAAGTAGAAATCCTGGATTTGGTCTTACATATGGTCTTTTTTATTTTAGATATCTTAGAGCTTGTTCTACAGTATATTGATAACTTTTCATTAAATAGGCTAAAACTAGAGTAGCTGATCTTGAGATGCCAGCTGCACAATGAACAAGAACATTTTATTGAGATTTCAATGCTTTTTCGATGAAGAGGAAAGATCTTTCGAAAACATTACTAATTTAAGAATTCATATTGTCATGAATATCTAAATAAATTTATTTATATTTTGGACCAACCATTATTTCTAAATTTTAATATATATTACTTTCTTCTGTACAAATTGATAATACACAATTTACGTTATTGGATTCCAAAATTTATTAATTATGTAAACAATCTAAATTTCCAAGAAATAATTTCCCTCTATCTTTTTCTGATAATACCAAACTAATTGGTTACTCTCCAGGTAAAGTGTATTTAAACATATGGAAACCCTTCATTATAAATAAAAATTATTTAATAATTTGAATGTATTAACATAATAATATATAATATAATTTATTATTGATAATATAAAAAAAGAAAGGAATGAGTTAAAATATATTATCTTTTTATTTTTTAAATCAACTTTGACGATCTTATAAGTCTTTTTAGATGCAATAGCACAAACCTAATTGTTCACATATGACACCTTCACAATTCAATACTAATCCCTTACAACAAGGACAATCTTTATATTTTTCAAATAAATCCATCATCTAATCAGGGTCTTCAGGATCTATATCAATTAATAGCTAATTATATAATAATAATACAATACATCTTTTTGTTTTTGAAGTACTTCATTTTAATATTTTTCAATATCTTCATTAGTGAGCTCTTTTGGTATCTATTATGTTTCTGGTTTATTGCAGTATGGACAACTTTAAATGCCATGTAGATGATAAAAATTGAGTTTGTATTCAATGCAATCAGGAGATGGCTTAATTTGAGCTTATTACTAAATTTCTTCTTATTATGACATTAAATTAAATAAATGATAAAAAGAACATTTTTTGGTTTGTAATTAAGAGACAAACAAAAATTTACATATAAAGAAGAAAATGGTTTGCTTTGTTATACATTTACTTAAATAGTATTAGTTGGTAAAGGTGAAGCAAAGATTTATGGACTTTCTAATAATAAAAAGATTTTAATTGCATCTTTGAATGGAAAACAAAACTAATGTAAAACAAAATTTATTATGGATGAAAATAACTTTACTCATTTAATATGTATTGGAGATGAGTAAATTTCTGTAAATGTGTTAGGATATCAATTAAATAAATAGGTATAAGAATAATAGGAAAATAATTAACAAGAAAATTTGGTTTTTAAAGATGAATTTAGAGCATTATAACCAGTAGAAGAAAGAGAATTAGACTCAGATGAATTTGAAACACTTTCTAAGAAGGAATAGAAAGAATATAAAAAAATATAAAAGTAAAAAAAAAAATATGAAAAATAATGAGTAATAGTGTTATGTTGTGATATATTAAAATTATTAGTTAAATATTTTCTTAAAATGTTCAAATCAATCTAAAAATGGAGAATGAGAAATTAGCTGAAGCTCTACTTTTTACTTTTATCTATATTCTCTACATTATTGATTGGAATTATTCTAATCGTCACCCAGAATATTGTATATTAAGAGTTAGTTTAGATTACATAGCAAATATCAACTAAAATGACAGAAAATGAAATATCAAATTAATTTGAAGGTCAAATGCATTTGTTTTTTGATGTTATTAATAAAAGTACTATATCATTAAATCTAAGATTATCGTGCTCTTGATAAAATTGCTAATTTATTTACATTTGTACAATTAGAATTGAGTTTAATTAGCTCTAAAAGTGACTAATGTCCAGTAAATTAAACTAGGAATTATAGGAAATCAAATATTTGCTATAATATTTTGAATTTGTAAAGTGGATAACAATTGAACTAAATGTAATCAAAAAACTTATTCTACTATTTAAAACATTAGAGTTTATTATAGGAACTGTTATTACTTTTTGATCCTGAATAATTTATTATAGGAAATTGGTCAATAGGATATAGTAAAGAATTTTATTTTTCAGCCTACTAATCTATAGGCTATTATTCTACATTTAATATTGCCACTAGACCATTTTATATAAATCATATCAATAAAGCAAATTAATCAGATTATATATTTAGTGATGTGTTTTTTAATTTTGAAAAGGAATATAAAGTCACAATTTCAAAAAATCTTACTAATGATGTAAATGATGGAATTGTAGCGACGTAATTTGAATTTAAAATAATTAAAAAATTTTTTTAAGAAAATTTTTTGATTCTAAATTAAGATGGATTAATATTGGTTGGAAATGTGTAAATGCATTTTTAACCAAACAATACTAATGTTTATTTTTTTAATTAAAGTCTAACTGGTTTTGATGAGAATGATTGGAAGTCTGTGAAGATTTATATGGATTAAAATATTTTAGATTCTAATTGCATAACAAAAAATTCTTTATATTTATGTAGATATAATAAAATTACATAAATGAATGTTATGATATTTGCAAAATTTTTATAGTTTTCCAATTTAATATTGATAATGTAAATAAGTGTTTATTTTAAGATTAAAGAATGTAGAATAAGATAATGATTTAGAAAATTAATTAATTTGGATAGAGGATCAAAAGAATCTATAAATCACAAAATTATTAATATATCAATTATCAGCTGCTTTTGGCACTAGTTTAATTGCAATTTTAATAGTGAGATACATTTGTAGATATATGACATATTTAGAGAGATTGGCTAATTCACATTTTTAAAATAAACCTGTAGATTTTTAGGTATATTCATTTTTAAGAGAAATAAAATAACATTAAAGATCAAGCTCAAAAAATATAACATTAAATCTATCAGATTCTTATTACAAATTAATATCATAATTAACAGCAAGACCATTTATAAAGAATGAAGAATGTAAGAATTTTGAATCTTTTCAATTTCCAAACTATAAAAAAAAGTTTAATCTATCCAAATGGAAGACTTCTATTTTACAATTAAATAATAAGAATGAGAGAATTAAATCAAGTTACAAGGCTCTAATATTGAATCTGTTAAGATAATCATATTAATCTAGTTGATATAATATAATTCCTATTGTTCTCTTTATTTAAATTTAATTAATAATCCACGTATATTAAATTAATTAAAATGGAAAAAAAATAAGGAACAGTAAAGTAAATAGTATCTTCAAATTGTGTGTTAATATCAGGACCTATTAATAATGAGACAGGAGTGCCAATGACAAAATTCTTCACTTTATAAGGAATTTAGGCACCTGAATTCTCATTGACAGATAAAGAGAATCCAAAATAAGAGCCCTTTGGATTTTAAGCAAGGGAATTCTTAAGAAAGTAATTATTAGGATAATAAATTGAATTCATAATTGATCATAAAATCAAAGACTAAAATGATAAAGTAATTGGAAGAATATTTAAAAATGGATAAGATATTGGAGAATTATAATTAAGAGAAGGATTGGCCTAATTAAGATAATAAGGTAAACCAAGTTAAGAATATGAAAATGCATAAAATTTAGCTAAATAAAATGGAAAGGGAATATGGTCAAAGAAAGAAGAATTAGTGAAATATAATAAAATTGAATTAAAAGATGTCAAACCTAAATAATATACTTAATGTTTTGTTGAAGATGTACAAGGATTGTTTGTATTTTATGCTTACATTCCTGAATTATAAGGTTTAGTGAAATGTTCATATGGAGAAGTATTTATGCCAACCTCAGTTTCATAAATATTATAAAATAGAGCTAAATGGACAATCTAAGAGTTGATTCTCTAATAAGAAGTTACTTTAACTGTTTAAGGATAAGATGAAAAGTTTTAGTCTTTGAGAGTAGATATAAAAAAAAAAGATTTAGATATAAAGAAAGAACTTGTAAGTTTAGGATACTTTAGATTATCACCAAATGCATTTTAATTAATAAATGATTAGAAAAGGTAATATATTTTATTAATTTCTTTTAGATATAATGAATTAAAAGAAACTTAAAGTCAAGCTGAGATTAAATTGATAGGAATATGGAAGGATGCTATGAAATAATAATAATAATCAGTTGTCTTATAAGGAGGTAAATAAACATATACAGCCAAAATTATTGAAGTTCATTCAGGAGATTAATTGACTGTGATGAATGTTAATAATAGATAATAATCAAGAGTATTATTGGCATCCATTAAGGCTCCAAAATACTCATTAAAAGAAACTGAACCATTTGGATATGAAGCTAAAGAATTTGTTAGAAAACATGCTATTGGTAAAATAGTTAAAGTAGAAGTTGAATATGAAAAGAAAATTAAACCAAAAGAAATTGAAGGATTGGCTGATGAAGATGATAAGAAAAAATTATAATAAGAATTAAATATGATCTTTGTTAATATTATATTAACTGAAGATAATGATTCAAATTTAGCTGCTTAAATTGTAGGAGCAGGATATGCTAGAGTTTAACCTCCAAGAGGAGATGATGGAGTTTCTAGATATATTGATGAATTAACAGGTGCTTAAGAGGCTGCAAGTAAAGCTAAAAAAGGAATTCATGGTAAACCAGTTTAATTACCAAAAATGACTGATTTATCTGTTAATCCTAATTTATAAAGATCAAGAGATGCTTTTGATTCATTAAGAACATTAAGAAAATTATCTGGAGTTGTTGAATTAGTTTTAAATGGATCAAGATTAAAATTAAGATTCTAAGAATAAAATTATACATCTATTGTAGTACTTGCTGGAGTTAAATGTTTACCAAATGAATAAAATTTACCAGATTATTAAAAATTCTCAAATATTGCTTTGTAATATGTTAAGGAAAATGCTCTATAAAGAGATGTTGATATCGAATTAACATCTATTGATAAAAAGGGAATCTTTCATGGACATGTGTTCTTAGGCAAATAAAGAATAAATTTAGGATTAACACTTCTTGAATTAGGATTAGCAGTTACATTTAATCCAGTTGCAAATAGTCATGCTTATCAAGCATTATTTGCTGATGCTGAATCAAAGGCTAAATTGAAGAGAGAAGGTTTATGGGATATCAAAGGTTTAGATTTAACTATTGTAAAGGGTGATGATGATGTACCTGTTAGATCTGAATGTAAATTATTAAATGGAGAAGTAAATAATAAATTTATAATATTAGTTAAAAAAACTTGTATTAGTTGAAATTGCAGATAGTAATACCCTTTACTTTTAAGATCCAACTGATAAATTGTTAGGATAAATTGAAAAGAGTCTTGGATCATTTACAGCTATTGAAGCTAACAAATTAATTCCACCTTTCAAAAAGGGTTTGCTTTGTGTTGCTAAATTCTCAGTTGATGGCAATTGGTATAGAGCTAAAATTACAAGAGAATTAAAAAATAGATATGAAGTCTTATTCATTGATTATGGAAATGTTGATATTGTATCACAAAATGATATCAGAAAACTTCCTGAAAATCTTGCTGCATTACCTCCTTAAGCTATTAGATGTAATTTAGCTTATATTACAGGACCATCAATAAGTCATGAATTAGGCAATAAAGTAATAAATTTTAGTAATTTAAAGGTTGGATAATTCATTAGAGACTAAATCTTTGAAAAGGAAGTTGTTGTTTCTTTTGAGTATTAGGATGATGTAAGTAAAGGAGTTATTGCCTATTTGACCAAAGAGAATTAAGTCAATAAATCACTTAACATTTTATTATTATCTTAAGGTTTTGCTAAACTTGATAAAACAGTAATATGAGATATTAATTTATAGGCTCCTCATTTACCTTAGAAATTAGAAGAATGGGTTAAGGCAAGTTAAGAGGCTGAAAATAGTAGCAAAGGATTATGGAATTATGATGAAGAAACTGAGTGATGAATTGTATTTTAAAATAATATAATAAATTTATGTAAATAACACCTAAAGCTATAACAGCACTTTCTAAATTATTGTCTTAGAATTCATCAAATAATGTAAGAATTTTATGATTTAGTAAGAAATAAAGTTAAATTGATTCAAAGCCTAAATCGAATTAGAATAGTAAGAATTGTAGATCGATTAATAAAAATGAATTCAAAAATTTCATCTCTAAACCATCTTTATCAAATGAACCAAATTATAGTGTTAAAAATGAATTGATATCTGTGCTTAATAGTAGTAAAGAGAAATCCATTAAATCAAACTTAAAACCACATCATAGTCTAAATTATCTTTTATTATCATAATAACAACTATCTGCTAGAAATAGTTTTCAAAAAAAGAGACCTCCATAAATTAATGTTGAAGAAAGCACTGATATTTAGAAACATCCTTAGAGTGCTAAGAATGTTAATTAAATGAGTCCTTTACATTATTGTCCTAATTAGAAATCACAATAATCTTAAAAATCAATAAAATATCCTAAAGGTATGAATGTTTTTAGTTCATTAAATGAAATATTAGGTTAATATGTTCAAAAAAGGAATTATTAAAAATGTAATTTACAATACTTTAATTAGAGGCTGGAACTGGAGAAGGTACGAAATTAGTTGTATGCAGATCAGCAAGAAACCAAGAATAAAAATAAGAAAAATAAATATATCTATCTGAAAATAAATAATAACAATCTCATTCATAATATTTTGATTCATAATAATTGAACAAATTATATTTATATGCAGCATAAATATTAAAAGCATATTAAACTAAAGAAATGATTTGGAAATAATAAAAAAAAAGTTTAAGAAATGAGATAATATTTCTAAAATAATTACTATAATAATAAGAATAGTAATAAAATAATGAGTGATATTCATTTTTTTGTAATTTCAATTAAATTTACTATTTATTGTTATTTATGTTAATGTCATAATGATCTTCCAATTAAGTTATATAATTCAATTATTAATTATTATGATCATTATGACGTCAACATATTAATGAAATGGAAGAAACAATCTTTGATATAACCATTATATTAAATGAAATATATTTTATTGTTGTTGACTATTGGACTGATTCAAGTAAATGCTGTTAATTGGGCATTATTGGTTTCAGGTTCAAATGCATTCTACAACTATCGACATTAAGCTGATGTATGTCATTCATACAAAACATTAATTAAAAATGGTTATTCACCTGAAAATGTGATTGTGTTTGCATATGATGATATAGCTTAGAACAGATAAAACATATACAAAGGGGCTATCTATAATTAACCTAATTAAGATGGATTTTCAGACAATGTTTATGATGGTTGTGTTATAGATTATTCAAAGACTGATGTCAACCCAACAAACTTCCTTAATGTATTAAAAGGAAATTATGATCACTTACCTGATGGTCACAAATTCATCAATTCTACAAGAGAAGACAACATATTTATTTATTTCTCAGATCATGGATCTCCTGGTTTAATAGCTTTCCCCACATCTTACCTTTATGAAGATGAATTAATGGAAACCTTTTAATATATGTATGAAAATAATAAATACAATAAACTTGTATTCTATTTGGAAACATGTGAATCTGGATCAATGTTTGTGAATCTACCAAAAGATCATAGAATTTATGCATTGTCAGCTGCTAATCCATATGAATCATCTTGGGGAACATATTGTCCACCTGATGATATTGTAAATGGAAAGAGTCTTGGAACATGTTTAGGAGATGAATTTTCAGTCACTTTCTTAGAAAATGTGGATCTTGGAGATTTTTCATAATCACTTTAAGAACATTTTGAATTTATCAGAGATCATACATTGAAATCAAATGTTATGTAGTGGGGTGATGTCTCATTTGCAAGTGATACAATTAAAGAGTTCTTTTGGGGACATAAATTCCAAAATAAAAGAAAGATGTGCCCAAAAGATGCTTATTTCATGAATGATGAAGTATTTAAATATTATATAAATAATTTAGAATGTCTCAAAATGGGATTCAAGAGATAATAAATTGTTATTCTATTAAAATAGATTCAATTAGACAGGTGATTTGGAAGACTTTATTGAATTAGAGAAAGAAATAAAATCAAGAGCATATTTTGATACTATTGTAAATATTATTGATATATTTAGTTTGGTGAATTGCAATAAACATTAAAATTGACTGGAGATTATCATTTTGCCTTAAATTAGAACTGTCTTAAATCTGTAATTGGAGTATTTGAAGACAAATGTACAAAATTAACTGATTACGGTCTTAAATATGTTAAATTATTTGGAGAGATGTGTGATAGCACAAACTTACTTCAAATTCAATTAAATATGATAGTATCAAATTTATGTATGACAGAATGATTTATCTATATTAAATAACAAAATATTTCCATATTTTTATTTTAACTAATATAGAGAATATAGACTTGGTGAATATTTTATTATTATAATAAAAATTAATATTGCAATATGTATGTCATATACTTTATCTTAGGCAAAGAATAAATTAATAAGGACAATCTCAGAATTCAAATCAGGAATAATAACATTTGAATTCTAATTAGTTAAATCAATAGTAAACATAAACTGGTTAAGTTGTTGGAATAGTGTAAAATAATATTACAAGCTTTCAATAAGAAATTAGTAAAGAAGAAGTAGATGAAAGAGACATAATGCAAAGTAGATAATTTTCTATTTTCAGAAAATCTAACTAATAGAAACAACCTGCAATAGTGTAAATTATTATTTGAAATTTTAGGAGATATAAATCTTAAATTGTAAATTCAGATGATGAATCAGATGATGATAAAGATAAAAATAAAAATGATAAAAAGGATGAGGATGAAGATGATGAGGAAGTAGAAGTAAAGGTATGGACTGCAAAAAAGACAACTAAGGATTAACCTAAGTAAGATTAGATTTAGTAAATTCCTATTAAAAAAACAGAAGATATTGACAATTTAAAGCCATTAGATTTTGAAGAAGTTTTAAAATAGAGTTAGATTAATTTCAGTTAAAATCGATAAAACTTTTAAAGGGATAAGTTAGTTAATAAGTCTACTTTTGGAGCTGTATTAATTACTCATGTTGATTCTGAAGATGAACAATAAAATAAAGAGGAACTTGCTGATGAAGTATTTTAAGAAATTGGAACTATACATAATTAAGAAAGTGAATTAACAGCTGAAAATAGAATTATGATGAGTGTTATGCAAACAAAGTTTACTTAATCTATATAAAAATAATTGAAATTGCAATAGTCTTTAAATAATTCATCCAAAAGTAATTAATAAGATGATATATTCAAATCTAAAATTATTTTTATCAATTAGACACCAGTGATTGTAAGAGAAGATGATCTTTATATTAGTAAAATCAGAAAAATTTAAAATTACTTTAGATTTGTTAAACCTTATAAAAGAATTAAGAAATAACATAGATATAGAGTAAATGTTATAAATGAATTAATATAAACAGAAAAGAAATATGTTTCTGATCTTAATGTTATCAAAGAGCATATTTAAGCACCTCTTTTAAAATTATTAGATAATTAAGATCATGTGAAATTTATGTTTAATTTGGATAGTATATATTATTTTAATTTTGAATTTTTGAAAATTCTTTAAAACAAAGAAAAAGATTTTAAAGAGAAACCATATGCAAAAATTATGGATGAAATTACTGTATTATTGCCAGGTTTCAAATTTTATTATGATTATTGTAAAGAATTTGATGCATCTAAAAAAATGAGAGATAACTATTTTAGTACAAATTAAATCTATAAAAAGTTTTTCATAGATCTCTAACAAAAAAAAATTAATTAACTTAAAAATTAAGATGTAGAAAGCTATTTGATTAAACCTGTTTAAAGATTACCTAAATATATATTATTATATAAAGATTTATTAAAACATACTAATAAAGATCATCCAGATTATTAAAATATTGAAAAATGTTTGATGATTTTTGAAGAAATTAATGATAAAAATAATAATGAAATGAAAATTTATTTAGAATAATTAAAATTAATAGAATTGTAAAATTAATTTAGTCAATATGTAAAAATTGCTGAACCTAATAGAGTATATTGTTTTGAAGAGTTTTGCACTATTTATACTGATAAAAAAGAGAATAATATTATTTTGTATGCATTTAATAATCTATTATTATTTGCTTAAAAAAAATAAAATGGATAATAAATATACTCTTTTCATATTAATATAAGTTATCAGTCTTATGTTAAAGATAAAGAAAATACAAATTATTTTGAACACTTTTTTGAAGTTGTTAATAAGACTGAATCTATTATTATTATTAATCAAGATAAGGAATCAAAAATATAATTAATGAATAAAATTTAAGATATAATATAATAATTAAAACAAAAACAAATGGATATGGAAATTATAAGAAAAACTAAAAGTTCTATAATTGAAGCTGGTGATTATTAAAAAGAATAAAAATAATAAGAATTTGATTATGAAATAAAAGTGATTATTATTGGAACAGAAATTAGAAATACAAAATCAAATCCTTATACAGTTTATGTTGTATAAATATACATTTCAGAATATCAAACTAAGATTTTTGTAAGATATAGTTAAATTGTTTCTTTATAATCAATTGTAAATAAATTTGATTCAACTTTAAAAGTACCAGTATTTACAACATTAAATTGGTTTCATTCAATTGATTCAAAAGTAATAGAAGAAAGAAAAATATTAATTGAAAAATTCTTATCATCTGTGTTGAATTCTACTAAATGTTAAAATTCTATTGAATATTAAAAATAGATTTTAGAATTATTAAGTTTAAATTAGGATTTCTTTTAGATTCCTAAAAAAAAGAATATGGCTTCTTAAGTTAAAAAAGGAGAGGAAGATATGATGAAAATGATATTATAGAGTTAATTTTCTAATGGTATTAAACCTAATCTACTTTAATCAATGATAATGAATAGACAATCAACAAATATACTTTAAGCAGCAAAAGCATAAGCTTAAAGATCAAGTCTAATGAATATGGAATAAGATAAATCAGTAGTAATTGGATAGAATGCTACAAAATCACCATATTTTATAGATGTAAGTCTTATGGATGGTAGAACAATTGCAGTTGGATTTTAAAAGTAAACATTAACATTATTTATTAAAAATGAAGTTGCAAAAGTTGTTGGATTAAAATAATGGTTAGATTTTAGATTATTTATTGTTGATTAAAATAAAGATTAAAGAGTTATAGATGATGATGAAACAATGTCATCAATATTAGATGCTCATACAAATTAAAATAAAGGTTTAATGAATGCATTTAAAAAGTTATTTACTTATGAATAAAAATTCTAATTTATATTTAGAAAATATTTTTATTTATCTTGGAAATAAGAGGAAGCTGATCTTAAATAGGATGAATAAAGATTAAGATATATTGTATATGATTTAATTTGGGAAATAAGAAATGAAAAATTTTAATTTAATTTCAATGAATATTGTTTGATATCTGCATTATTCTACTATTCTACAAATACAAGTCAAGATTAACTTTCAACACTTTTAACTAAAACAATACCAAAGATTATTTTAAAAAGTAAAAAAGAAGAAGTTTGGCTTAAAGAAGTTGTTAATAATATTAATAATTTATAATAATAATTAAAATAAGTTTAAAAAGAGAATTAATCATAAATTAATAAAAATAAAAAATTAAATACTTCTATATCAGGATTAGCATAATTAATGATTATGAATTTCTTTAAAAATAATTTGCTTTTTGGAATGTCATCATTTTTTGTTGAATGTGATAAAGGGACTATTCAATTAATTTAGAAACATTTTAATCTTAAAATTAAGAGTAATATCTTTATTGGATTAAATTATAATGGATTTCATATTTTGAAACCAGAAAATAAGGCATTAATTTTTACATGTCATTATTAAAAGTTATCCGAGATGAAGGCTTGTACAACAGAATTTTGTTGTACTATTGACAATGCTAAATTAACCTTTAAAACATAATTTCCTTTTGAAGTAAATTATTTAATTAATTTTAATAGATAAAATCATTGATATAGGAGTATTTATAATTATAAGAATTCACAAAATAATTAACTTATGGTATCAACTGAAAACACAAAAATTATTATAAAATAGCTAAATTATTATTAAATCTCTTATAATATAATAAAATATTTTAAATAATTTTATATCAATTAGAGATTTTTTCATTTAATTATTTTGTTTATTGTATTTGAAAAAAACTATATTGAACTATTTGGTGTAGATAAAGTCTTTTAATTTGATTTACTGAGATTTACATTTTTTGGAGTGTTACTCAACAAACTTGATGTTGATTAATTACAATTAAATGTATTTCTATACCAAATATTTACATCAAAGGATTCATCATCAATCATTTTTTAAATTAATTGCAAAGTCTAAAAACTTGTTGGTCTATCTAAAGGATTTTATTTTACTAAAATTTTAGTTAAGTCAAATAGTCGACCTTATTCTTTTATGTGAAACAAACAATTTTTATTTTTTTTTAAAACTTACTTTGATGTTTCAGCTTCAAATAAACTTTTAGAAGTAAGTAATTTGTAAAGTACACATCCAGCACTAAATACATCAACTTTACTATCATATTAATTCTTATTTCCAATATTTTACAGGATTTCAGGAGCACAATAGCCAGGAGTACCACATTTTGGATAGTCCTTTAATTAATCTCCATCAAAACAAGCCAATCCAAAATCTATTATTTTCAATAATCCATCTTTCTAAATTATTAAATTAGCCGATTTAATATCTCTATGAATGATGTTATTCTTATGGATAAAATTTAAACCTTCAAATAATTACTATATAAAATATGATATTATTACCTTAACTAAACATAAAATTGAATTATCTTACATTTGATGAATTTCATTATATAATTATTTTAGATTTTTTCCATCAATATACTCAGTCACTAAATAATATATAGAATTTGTTTTAAAAACCTCATATAATTTCAGGATATTAGGATGATCTAGACTTCTTAGAGTAGTAATTTCATTCATGATTTATTTCTACAATTATTTATTAGAAGCTGTCAAAGCTTTTATGGCAAATTTATTTTCTGTTATATAATTGGATTACAATGAAACCTAAATATTAATAATCATACTGATCCAAATGCTCCTTAATCTAAATATAGTAAAAATTTATAATGGACAATGAGAGATTTAAAAAGAATTATTTTTCCAAGTTACAATTTAAGCTAAGTTAAATGATTCTTATCCCCATAAAATTCCTTTATCTTATTTCTATAAGGAAATAGAAAACCAACTAATTATTGATTTCTAATAATCCATTCAAATTCAGTATCAGGAGATAATGATAAATAATATTTTGGTTTCTTAAAATCAGTTTCCTTTTTATATAAAATTTATAACTTACAGAACTCATTATGATAAAGTCTTTTTCCAATTTTAAGTAGTAAATTCTATCAAGAAAAAAGTGCTTTCTAATGACAGTAAAGTGTAAAATTTATTAATCATTTTATTTTGATTTGAATTACATTAAATATGATTAATAAATTTAATAAAAAAGTCAAACCATTTTTAAGGTAAAATCTAAGTAGTTTATATTGTTAACAAATAGACAAGCAATTTAAATGATAAGTTGGTATACGAAATCTAAATTTAATATTATATTAGATTTAAAAAAATAGAATCCTACTTACCTTAATTTTATTCATTTGGATCTTATAAAATTCAAAAATTTATCTATAATTTTATTTAATAGCAAATATAAGATAATTTGAATAAAATAAATGATATTTTTGTATTTCATATAACATAATTAATATATAAAATCCCTAATTTAGTTAGATAATATTATTATTCAACAAATTTCAATTTAAATTAAATTTTGCATTAACATAATATTATTTAATTATGATTTATTAATTTCATTTTATAGATTTATAGTATTTCTATTTTTGATGAAATTATTAACACACACCTAATTTATTTAAGTAAATTAAGTTTATTAATATAAGATAATCATAACTTTCCAAATTACTATGCAAATTTAAATTGAAATGTATTTTGAAGAATAAATGATAAATTAATGCTTAAATTATATTCACTTTCAAAATATGACACATTCTTTATTTTTAATCATTTACTCTTAACAATTTTAGCAAATGTCAAAATCACAATTTTAACAACATTAAGTTTTGCTATTTGGCATATCTGATCCACTTTATCCACAAACATCACATACATAATTTGTACCTTTCCTAAATTCCATTCTATGACCTGTTGGACAATATGAAGGTAAACTTTTTCCTCTGCACATGTTTTCTGGTGGTGCACAAATTAAACAATAATAATCAGAACAAGTTTCACAAACATATCTGCAAATTTGATTTTTTAAACAATTAGAGCAAGTTTATCTACTAGCTTCAATACCTGGAGTTAACCAAAAACGTAATAAATGTTTTTATTTACACATTTTATCTTTACTAATATCTCCCAATTTTCCACAAGTTTTAAAAATTGGAATTTATTTTTAGAGAACAGGAGGTTTTTAAAATTATTATTATTATTATTATTATTATTATTATTATTATTATTATTATTGTTAATAAGATGATTTATTTAATGAATTAACAATAATTGATTCAGGAGGTTTATCTGATTTTATATTTGAAATATTATTTATTTATTATTATTATTATTCAAAAAGAATTTATGATTATTTAATAATTGAAGTTTATAATTATGATTATTATTCTAGTTTAAGTTCAAGATCATTGATTTTAATTTAAGAAGACTTCTTCACCTCTGAAATCTCTGTTTATAAATTTATCACTAAATTAATTAATGTTTCAAAACAATTATGAGTCTCTTTTTATTCTTTTAATACTTTTTATTTGCATTATTTACATGTTATATGTAATATAAAATTACATTTTTCTTGCTAAAATTTAAACAATTTAATACATGATTTTCTAGCTCTTTTGCTTATCCCTCCCATTCACATTATTCACAACACTTTACAGGTATAAATTAGCATTTCTATAGATGTTAAAGAATTTGATCTAAAATCAACTACTCTTAACATCCGAATTTAGTATATTTACAATAACATTTTATTTTAAGAATTTCTGATCTAATCATTCTGTGTGCTTATTTTAAATCAAAAGGTTTTTCACATTTATTAGGACATCTTAAATTATTAATTTATGGTTATACATATCATTTTTTTTTTTCCAATCTAAAGAGCATTGATTACAAAAGAGAGTTTCACACTTTTAACATTCAACAGCATTAATTGCTAATTAATAACAGATACCACATAGATATTCATCCTTAATTTCTTAAGCTATGATAAAATCTTCCCTTGATATCATATATATATTATTTATATAAATAATATTCATAATAAAGAAACTATATATTATTATAGTAATTTAAGTTATTCTTTGATGAATTCTTTACATTCTATAAGTGATATATCTTTTCTCTCTTGACATTTTGTAATTAAGTATAGAATTATTTTATTTGGTATATCTTTGGAGATTGTTTAATTGATTTTTAATGCATCATTTATCCATTTTGCATTAATATTCATTGATTATATATCATCTTAATATTAAATATACTCTTATCTCAAGATTTTATTATGTTTGATTACTATATTTCTCAATTCAGAAATTAGTTTTTCTTTTTCTTAGAATAATTTAAATTGATTAAGTAATTTTAATGCTTCAATAATTATTTCATTTTAAGAATAATATAAATCTACAGAGAAATTAATTAATTCAATATTAGTCTTTTCCAAATATTATTAAAATTCTGATTGATCAAAAATACCATAAATTTAGAGACATTTTTGACAAGCATTAATAATAGCATTTTCATCATTTCCTAAAATCTTATATTTAAATGGTTATTAATGATATGGACATTCTTCTACTTATTATTATTCAGTAGAATAAGTAGGTATTTAAAACATTTATGGTTATTCACATGATGTAGTTTGGGATTAAAGAGATAAATTTCTATAATCTTTTTTAAAACTACAATTAGGACTTTATAAATAATATTCACTTAGAGTTTATATAATCCAAGTTAAATCTTTTCTTAATTTAGGATCCTTTTAGATAGAATTAATTAAAATATTTTTAATTACATTCTTTTTAATATCAAAAATTGCAGGTTTTGCATATTAATTATCTCTTATGATATAACTTATGGCTCTTATTTTACCAAATACTTCTTCTTCAGTTAATCCATTATAAAAGGGTGTTTTATGTATTAATTCATCAATAATTAAGCCTAATGCCCAAATATCTACTGATTTATCATATTGTTATTTTTCCAATATTTCTGGAGCTACATAATATGCTGTTCCAACTTTAGTTGTAGTCATTCTATCTAATTTCACACTACTTAAACCAAAATCTGTTATTTTATAGATTTCAATTCCTTATTCATCGACATATCTTAAAATATTCTCAGGTTTAATATCTCTATGAACAATATTTTTGCTATGTAAAAAGGCTAAACCATTAGCAATTTAAAGAGCTATATTTACTATTTATTCTTCAGTAAATGATTTAGTTGTCATCATTTCATATAATGTTCCACCAGGACAATATTCTTAAACAATAAATAAGGCTTCTGGTTAATCAAAAATATCAAGTAATTATACTACATTTTAATGCTTAAATTAAGATAATTGTTTCAATATCATTTTCTCTTGTTAAGAGATGGCAAGATTTCTATTACTAATTTTAACAGCAACTTTTTATTAATTTGATTTTTTAACACCCAAAAACACTTAAGAAAATGCACCTTATCCAAGCAATTAGTTTTTCGTTTCATAATATAATTCATATCGATTTCTCATTTCTCTATGATTTAAATTTATTATACAAACTAAATTATAACAAAATTTATAATCATTAGTATAATGAAGAATTTGAATTTATTGAATATCTAAATATGAATATATCATATGATCCATTTATATTGATTTATAAAAATTGAATATTATAATATTGTTATAATATTATGACATACAATAGATAATATATATATATATATATTTATTAATTTGAAACATATTC